AAAAATAAAGCAACATATCCAACCCAATTCACATTGTCTGCATGCATGCATTTTAGCTTACTTGTGTATTTATTGTATATATTGCTTTGTAAGAATAAACAAGTCTAAAGAAATATTGGCTACACTTAACGAAAAGCCAACTCTCTTCAATATCAAAGCTCAATAAGAAATGAAACACTAAGAAAGGGCCAAAAACAAGCCATCACGAGGAGATTAACACTATGAGGGACAAAGTTAGTTTGAGCAAGCATTGCAATCGTTGCCTTTTGGGAAAGATACTTTAAGTAAGGGATAAGCTTGAACAAAAATTACATCATCTCGTTTCTTTATCGAATGATCAAATGCCTTTAGGGCCATTGCATATCAATCAAGGAGCATTAGACTTTATTCTAATGACTTATTTTCTATAAACACCACAAGCTCTTTCCCTTACGGACCTCGCAACTGAAGGAATCATGAAAACCAAGTTGGTAAAAAAATCCAACGAAGAGAAATTGTCCGTTATTGAAGAACACACAAAGGCGATCAAGGGCATGGATTTATATGATCTAATGAGATCTAACAAGATGTGCCTTGTTCCTTGAATGGTGATTTCAAACAATTTCAAGATACTCGAATTCATCAAGTACATTGGCACACAATGTCCAAAAATATATCTTCGATTTACTACAAAAAATGACGAAGTTATAAATGATAAGAAGCTACTAGCCCATTTCTTTTATGAAAGCCTAAATGGTGCCGCCCTCAACTCGGTACATACATCTTGATAGAAAAAAGATTTGAAAATGGAAGGATTTGGCATATGTATTCATCGATCGGTATAGGTTCAATTTGGAAATGGCTCCTAATAGAACTACTCTACAAAATATGAAGAAGGATTAAAAAGAGATTGTCAAATAGTATACACGGAGATGACGTGAAGTCACTATCTAGATATATCCACCTTTGACGACAAAAAATTTGGTTCATATGTTTATTGATATATTTGAAGCCCTTTACTTCAAGTTTTTGATCGGTAGTTATTAAGTTTTGTTGATGTGGTAGTCATTGGTGAAATGGTAGAAGATACTCTTAAGTCAAGAAAGATTTTAGGTGCCAACTTGAGAAAAAATAATTTTAGCATCGAGTGAAGATAATGAGATCAACTAATTGCGGTCCACTAATTTCCAACCTTAAAGGTCGAGGAATAATCGGTGGCACTAAAATTACTTATGTGCTCAACAAGGAAATAACAACAATTAGATCCTAGTTGCCCCTATAAATCGGCCCCACTTCAACATTTCGATCCATCATCAAACTACCGACTTCCTATACAAAGCCATCAAATACGAAACAATAACCTTTCAATGGTCTCCGAATATCATATTCTCAAAATAGTGGCGGAATGTATCACGACATATTACCTCTTCTTTAAGTTTTGCTAAGTGAGTTGGGTAACTATCTCATCGTCAATGGACAAGTCATTCCTATTTCTATAACATCTTTTCGACGACTCTATCCACATTGGTACAAACCAAATGAGAAATACGACTATCACACTAGTGTAATAGGCCATAATATCAAGAATTGCATTTCTTTCAAAAGAAGGGTAAGATATCCGATAAAGTATGGGTGGATCTCTTTTGATGAAACTCCAAGTACATTAAATGTTTAGAAACAATCCAATGCTCGAGTCATACGAGTTGCTAACATAAGGGATGGAGAGAGTGATTGTCGAATTTTGCTCGAATGTTTTGGTTATGCATGAATTAAGTCATATCTTTAAATGAAAGAATGTTTCTACTTTTTGGTACAATTTCATATTATCTTATTTGAAATCAAAATATTTTTCTTTAAAAGTATTATTTGACATTACATCCTCCTTCAACAACAAAATATAATGGCAAATTAATTCAAAAACATTCAAAAGATTGGTCAAATTTTAAAGGATGGCAAATAGATGTTAGAGACAATTCTTCAATTAATTGAACCTAAAGATACATCCTTCTAATAACGTCTTTGAGTAAAAAGTATGGGAATAATTCGTTTGTTTTGTTGAAACCAAAAAACTCTAAGAAAAAAGAAATCTTTTTGCAAATAAACTCTCGAAGGAAAGTTTACCTTAGAAAATCCTCACAAAGTTCGAATTTGAAAACTAAATGATCGATGTCTTAAATATTGATGAACAAGTACAATTTCAAGTCATGATCTCAAATTACATTCATCATTTCTTCTTATTGGTTAACCAAGGAGTTTTCCAAATTACTCATTGTTTTTCCAACAAGATTAGCATTTATTAGTATAGGCAAATTATCCTTTGAGATGAAGAAAGATCATCTTTCGTATATCTCATAAAAGTTTTATTCCTTGTCATCCCATTTTGAGCTTTGATGATTTCTTCCACGATAACCTAGACTAGGATCACCCCTCACACTAGGGGCGGGATGTGGAGTCCATGAATGATCGATAAAACATTAAAAATATTATCAAAACAACTCCATCAGTGATTCTAAAAAAAGGAAAAAAAAAAGACATCTCTAATACTAAATTACAAGTCAAGATGGGAGTCTAAATTCAAAACAAATAATGAGAGTTGAGGCTAGGAAATAAAGTCAACATTCAAAATGATAAAGTCACTATAGCAACCGTAAAAGAAAAAAAATTCCCATGAACATCAAAATCACATAAAAGCCTAACTAATGACTAAAGTGACAAAGTTCAAGCCGTATTGCCTAAAGAGAATTCTATGTATAGTAAAATGATCCTATATCATAAGATCCTTCCATAATTTTTGAGCTTTTATGTATCCATTTCTTCATAAGTTCAAACCATAACCTACATTATGTGCTTCTATAAGCCCTTTTTTTATTAAAGGTCGTTCGTTTATATTGTTAAATCCTAATATCAAAAAAAAAAAAAAGAATGATGATCAAATAAATAAAAAAGGATGACTAGTCGATGTGTTGTTTGTCGCTCATTATGTCGTCAAATTATAAGTTTTCATCAACAAACTTGCTGGCAAGAAAAAAATAAAATCAAGACATTCTCTAGAAAATTATCCTTCATAACTAATTTTCTCAAAATACTTTATGCTTAATCTATTTTATTCACCAAAATAGACTTATCATTTGACTATTTATCTTTAATAACATCAAAAACCATTTTTCATACAAACCTTGCATGATTCAAAAACATTTGCTAGCTTAACCCAACAACCTTCTTAAGGAAATTGCATCATAGTATTTGAATGTCATGTTTTGATTTTTAATCAATCAACTTCAACATCTCCATGAATGAAAGTACTTTTATCGAACATTTATCAATATATTTTTTTAAAAATAATTTGAATTATATTTGAAAGAATTATTTCAAATGCACAATTTAATCCATGAGAACCAAATGTCTATTCAATGATCTTTCTCAAACGATAATGAAAAATTAAAGATCAATTTGTAAATTGTGATGCAAGCATCAAAAGACAAGCATTTGAACACGAGTAATGATTATACCAAGAGATAGTAAAGGCATGGTCTCAATCAACATTTGGGAGCATCTCATGGCTCGATCTAAATGGTAATCCATAAAAATAAAAACACTTGGAGGACAAGGCCAAGGATCTAACCATTCGATTAAAATTCAACAATTGGTCAAACAATGATACCATAAAGTCAACTAATGTGATAGGGGTCCAAGCAACAAGTATTAAAGCATTAATCAAAGCATCCAAAGTAGCTAAACTAAAAGGCAACTAGGGTATCTCAACCAAGCCAAAAACCAATAATTCGGTATAGTTCAAATTCAGTTTCATTAGTAGCAATCCGAGAAAGAGAAATTAAGCTTTCAAAGTGTAGCTAATATTTCACACGAGTAATAAACTAACCATTGCAATCAGTTTCATTGATGAATTATAGGAACATATCTCATTAACTCACCCAAAGTTGTTCATACATCTTTTTTTATCGGATCACTTGTCAAAAGTTCATTTCTCCGACCTCATTTTTTTCAAAAAGAGAAAAAGATCATCCAAAATGGTTCGTATATCTTTTTTTTTATCGGATCACCTATAAAAGGTTATTTCTCCGATCTCATTTTTCAATAAAAGAAAAAGATCAACCAAAACAGTTTGTATATCTTTTTCAATCAAATTATTTGTCAAAGGTTTGTTCCTCCTACCTCATTTTTCAAAAAAGAAAAAGATCATCTAAAGTGGTTCATGATCTCCATCGGAATAGAAAACGTGCTTCCTTTATGATTTCTTAAAGCTCCTCTCACACTAGAAATCTCAAGCTTGTCCAACGACGATCCATCAATATTCCACTTCAGAAGCCTAGACAAGCCTTAGACCAATGGATAGCCAACCAACATTTAGGATGATTAGTCCACATCTTAATACAATCTAAACAATGCTTTAGATTGCTTCTTGTATAAATAAAATGATCATTTATATATTTTACTAAGTATGCTATCTTCTGAAAAACTAGAGAAAAGATTTGATTCTAATCATGCCCGATATCATTAAATACTCTATTATTCTTTGACAACTAGATTAACCAAAAACTCGCATAAAAAACTAAGAATCAAACCTTTTTCTACATTTGTCAATAACAAAAAAATTCACTTCCTTAAAACAAATCATCAACTAAGCATGGCATAACCCAAATACATCCTTACCAAGACATAATTCGACACCATAATGTCTACACAATTTCACAATGGAGAAGTGCATGCGTAGTTGTTTCTCGACCGTAGAGGTAAAATGGGCAAATATTGGCATCCTCTTCAATTACACATTTCACAGCGAGTGAGCTTATAGTATTTAGTATCTCCAAAACTACAAGCCAAGTAAAACCTTCAACTTTCAGTATAAAGAGGTTTAACCAAACATAAGAGTGAATACTATAACCACACCTCAAATCGGCTTTGAGCTTCACCGACCAATCTCCATAAACCGTCTATCAAAAAAACTCTCATTTATAATTAGCCATTGTTAACATAATACCTAACCACTAAAACTTTACCAGTCATAACCTCTCTACGGTCATCTCTACTCGCTGTAAAACTTCATCACAAGAGCCACACCCACAAACCCATAGCCTCTCACCAACATTAGCCACCGGATGACCGTCGCTAAAAGCCATACTTTCCCATTCTTTAGCTCCACTCCCGTAGCCACTACAACCCAACCCAAGCAAGGTCATCACTCCTTTCCTTCTCCATTCTTCATTATCGTTCGATTTTAACACAACTAAGCCGGCTCCCATCACGACCCTAAAATTTCAAACTCACCATCATTTATGCCCAAAAAAATAAAAAATCTTTTCCTCTTACTGCCTCTCCATCAATGACCAAAACCACCATCTCTAAACTTCATCGTCACATAATAACGCAAGCACACACCAAGCTCTAACCAAACTCCCTTATAACGAAACCACCCTCTTCCTCCTACCAACTTCATCCTCACTTTAAATAAGCATAACACATACCTTCGGACACCATGTAGCCCCAACATCGTCATCCAAACTCACAAATAGACATAAAGGAGTTTTATCAAACACTTGATGGACGGTTCACCAATATCAAAACCAAGCTTCTACTAGTAAGTACAATCCAACCCCTCACCGCCACAAGCCTATCAAACCTAGCACTCTACCTTAACAAACTCATCCTCCTTCATCCACACCTAACCGAGTAGACCTTTCGCCCATTATCCATGCTCCACCAAACAACACAATAACCTTACTTCCGAAGCCTACCCTTCCCCATCGACTCGCATCTTCATAAACCCACATCATTTCAACATCTAAGTTATCTCATTCTCGCATTCACTCTTCATTTTTTCCTTTCTCTCTCACCCATTACTCCTAATTCAAACCCTAATAATTTTTTTTCTCGCTTTCCTTTTCTCATCTCTCAAATCCTATCATGAATTCTAATCTTACCTTTAAATCGCATCGAATAAAAGGCCTTTTACTTGGAACAAGGCACCGGAGAGTGTTGTTAATAGGTTGGAGATGGAGGATCGAAGAGAATCGAGAGAAAGGCCATCCGAGAGATAAACGAGTAGCAAGAGAAAGAGAATGGAGGACCTAGGTTCTTCTCGGCGGACTCGAGGGCAACATCAAGGATGGAAGACCGAGATTTTTTTGTCTTCATAAATGGAGATGTTTTCTAGTTTCAAAAACAATGAAAAGGCAAAGAAGAATGAGAGGATGAAGGTATCAATTTTGATTTTGGTTTAACTAGAGATGGTTTAAAAAAATGTTACAAGCCGGTTTGTTGTTGAAAAATTGGAAAAAAAAAAAGGCTGAACAAGCCCGGCTCGGGAATGCCAAGCGGGCTCGGCTAAGCCTAGCCCATATGGCCAAAGTTTGGGCTGGTTGCACCCCGACCCAAGCCCAAAAACGAAAGATCGGCTCGCCTAATAGGCCGATCCAGCGGCTCTCGACCTAGTGGGTCGAGGGTCCATTGACCCAAAAAGAAAAAAAGAGCCCAATGCCATTTTTTTTAGACAAACTCAACCTCAATGTTTTTTTTATTATTCATTTTATTTTATACTTGATTCGATTTAGTATTTTGAATTTCTTGAATTTATTTAAGTAATGTTAATTTTAGAATTTGTTTTAATAATTAGTTTAGGTAATTAATATTTGGATGAATTGTCAAGTCTCCTAATTTTGAGGAACTCGATGACAATTCTCCATTAATAAATAAAACAAACAAAAAAATGATAAACCAAAAAAAAAAAGAGTATTTAGTTAGTTTTAATTTTAGAATTTTGTTTCAATAATTAGATTAGTAACCAAATGATAGATGAATTGTCGAATTTCTTAATTTTTAAGGACTAATCGATACACACACACACACACACTCTCTCTCTCTCTAATTGAATTTTTTTTTCATAATTAGTTTAGATAACTAAATGGTGGATGAATTTGTCAAACCTCCTAATTCTTAGGGATCGGTGACGATTCCCTACCGAATCATAAGTCATCAATATTTAATAATTAGGATATTCTCTAACACACCAATTGTATCGAGGCTTGAAGTGAATTCGATATTTGAACCAACATGTCATCCGACGAAGGAAATCGACGATCATTTCAATACGATGTCACGCTCAAAAAATAAAAAACTTAATTTGACTTGGAAAATTGGAGTTAAAATTGAAAATAATTTGACACAAATAAAATACTTTAGAAGATGAATTTAAGACTAAACTAAACCCGGTATCTTTTTTAGAAAAAGAGTCTTTAGGTGATTGATATCTTCCTAAAGCATAAGCAACTCTTTACTTGAGAATTTACTGCACCAATGCTATTTTAAGTTCCTAATTCCTTTAATACTATTGGCAATTCCAAACTTAATAATAACTTGCATCCTTAGAATAACTCACAAATGAGATGCGAATCTCCGAAAACCTAGATTTTTTTAGAGTCCCATCCGACATCACGTAGCGACAAGAATAAAAACTGAAAAGATTTAGAAGAAAAGAAAAGAAAAGAAATTGTCAATTGAGGAATACAGTCGAATAAAAATAAAAAAAGGGTAAAGACCAAAATATAAAAGGTTGAGAAATTGAAGGACCGAAAAAATTTAACTACTTAGATGCTTTTTCTTTGCGTTCAAGCTACAAAACAACTCTCAAAACCGTCTCTTCCTCACACAACCAACTCCAGAGGATGCCAAAGTAGATGCATAAGTTTCTAGCATTGATATCTAGTAGAATTCATCTGGTCAAAGTATGGGTGCTCCCTCCAATACAAAGTATTTAGTTTAATTAAAGTCATTTTTTATCGTTTCTTATAATAATTAATCTTGTGCCATCGAATTGATGCTACAAGACATATTTATGGGCTGGAAAGTATGGATATTAAAAAACATCAGTGGTTCATGACTGGTACGACGAATCTACAGTGGTTAATATGTATACAATAATATTGCAACTTTTTCTACGCGTCTTGTAATGCTTTTCGATACCCTTCCCAATATTCTAAAAGTGAATGTAAAACCAAAGGGATTTTACCTAACGTTATATATAAGAAGTAATTAATCATTTTGTACAAATGTGATTGCTATGGAAATCAGTTTGTTTGTTTTTTTTTTTATTTATCAGTACAAGGCAAAAAGTTATACGCGTGAAGCGCACTTAATTTGGATAGTTTAATAAATAGCAGGGAACTTTCCAAGCATAAGAGATGTGCAGACCTTGAGAAATTTTTGCATATTTACATGCTTAACTATTTCTACTGGATAACCGTAGTACTGTGCTGTGCCTTCTTCTGATCTGCTAACAAAACAAAAGAGCAGCTAGAATGGCAGCTGTGCAGTTTGTAGTGCTTCAGCTCATACTGCAGTTGCTGATGTTTTGGTCATTTGATGATCCATTGGCTATTGCAGAAGCACAGGTACCTATAGCAAAGTATAGATGTCGAGATTCTTGTGGAAATGTTACGATTCCATATCCATTTGGGATGGAGAAGAAGGGTTGTTACATAGAAGAAAGGTTCAAAATGCATTGCAACTCTACTAGTGGTGTTCCCACAATTTCAATCAGCGGCATCGACATGGAGGTGACAAATATTTCTATTCATTACCACACTATTACGGTCAACTTTCCAGTTGTCTACGCAAATTGTGAAGGCAAAGAAAGTAAAAGCAGTACAGTTGTAGACTTGGAAGGAAACCCTTTTGCTTTCTCCTCCGCAGAGAATTACTTCATTGCAAAGGGTTGTCATAACGTTGCCTTAATAACCCCGAAGAATGACGACTCACATCCTTGGTGCGTGTCATTTTGTGAGAAAGAGAGAGATAATGGCCTTTATATGTCTGCTTGCACTAACACCACCTGGTACCTGACCAACATCCCCTCAGGTCTTAAGGTTTTTAATGTAACCTTTAAGGGTTTTGATAATAAGGCCAAATTAGGCAGCAGCAACAGCAGCCAGAAATTAGGGGAATGCAGGTGTGCCTCTTTGATAGAACAAACACGGGTTGATAACTCTGTCTCTGACATGAGAGATGTGGATTTTGTTCCAGTAGTGCTAGATTGGGGGATTGATAATGAGATATTTCAATCCTTTGTGGAGAGGCAAGGGTGTCCTATTTCAACCGCTATTCATAGATGTGGAGCTTCCGGTCCTCCCATCAATTCAAGTTCCCGACCAAACTCAACAATTCAGTGTTATTCCACACTTATCCCTGATGATCACAATCCTTATCTTGATTATTTTTGTGAAGGTAAACTCCTCATCGCACGAACTTTTTATTTACTTTTCTGAATCGAAATTAGTTGTTTTGGAATGAGATTGAAATTTCAAAAGCGTCTATTTATATATCCAGTACTACATGTCAGCAAAATTCATTTCCTATTATGTTTTTTTTTCATTGTTTGCATAGTTGTTACTTATTGCAATGATAGAATAACAGTCACAACTATTATATAATGTCAAATAACGATAACGAAATATTTTGAAACCGTTACATAAAGATAGTTATGCCATATAAGGACCGTTATTTAAATCTATGATTGTTTGTTATTGCATAAAGCATTGATTAACTCTTGTTCTCCATGCATATATGTCAGGGAACAGAAATGGCAACCGGACTAAAATGGCGACCATAGGTATGTTGCACTATGGACCAAGTTTGGATTTGGGAATCAATAGGTTCTGAGTTCTTCAAGTCTCACCAAATTTCCTGTTCGAATTTGTACAGGTGTTGGAGCTGGACTAGGAACAATGTGTTTACTCATCGGTTTATGAAGACTGTACAAAGTTTTCAAAAGAAGAAGGAATGAAAAAATGAAGAAAAAATTCTTTAAGAGGAATGGTGGTTTATTGCTACAAGAACAGCTATCTTCGGGTGAAGTTAATGTTGAGAAAATCAAAATGTTTCCTTCAAAAGAATTAAAGAGGGCCACTGACCGTTACAACGTGAATAGAATGCTCGGCCAGGGAGGCCAAGGAACAGTTTACAAAGGTATGTTGGCAGATGGGAAAATTGTTGCAGTGAAGAAATCCAAAATACTTGATGAGGAAAAAGTCAAACAGTTCATAAATGAGGTTGTCATTCTCTCACAAATTAACCATAGGAACGTGGTTAAGCTTTTAGGTTGTTGCTTGGAGACTGAAGTTCCATTGTTGGTATATGAGTTCATTCCCAATGGAACCCTTTTCCAGTTTCTCCACGACCCTAATGAGGAACTCCCATTAACTTGGGAAATGCGCTTAAGGATAGCAACAGATGTAGCAGGGGCACTCTTCTACCTGCATTCAGCAGCTTCAAGTCCCATTTACCATAGAGATATCAAGTCTACAAACATATTGCTTGATGAGAAATACAGAGCTAAAGTAGCAGATTTTGGGACTTCAAGATCAGTAACAATAGAGCAAACCCATGTCACAACTCGAGTGCAAGGCACCTTTGGATACTTGGATCCAGAGTACTTCCAATCAAGCCAATTCACAGATAAGAGTGATGTGTATAGCTTCGGTGTAGTCCTTGTTGAGCTAATTACTGGAAAAAAGCCAGTCTCTTTCTCAAGATCAGAAGAACAAGCCACAAGTTTCGTTACATATTTCCTAATGGCCATGGAGAGCAACTATTTGTTTGATGTCCTTGATCCCCAAGTTGTGGAACAAGGCAAAAGAGAAGATGTTCTTATGGTAGCTAGCTTGGCTTGGAGCTGCTTGAAGTTAAATGGGAAAGAAAGACCTACAATGAAAGAAGTCACAATGGCATTGGAGGGGATTCACAAATCACACGACTTCATGGTTCCACAAGAGATTGAAATTGATCAAAATGAAGTAATAGTAGCTAGTTGGGAGCTTGCTTCTACCTCAGCAAATTCTGGTTCGAATATTTATGCTATTCCATCCCAAGATAGTAAACCATTCCTATTTACATATTGAAATTATCTTTTAAACGTGTTTGTTTTGGGTGTATTTATGTTTAATCCATACGATTTGATATGTTGAAAATGTTTTACTAGTTTACTAACTTTTTTATCTTAACACCTTAATTAAGAGATTTTATCATTTTATATAAGATACGATTAAATTTTCCATTTTATGTAAGATATAGTTGTAAATATTAGATTTTGCATTTAAAATGAACTCTCTGTAATTAATTAGAAGAATAAGAAATAACATACGAGATGTAATTTATTTTCCACTTCTTGTTTTTCCTTTACTCTTCTATCGGTATTAAAAGCTGAATTGTTGGAAAGTAATAATATATGATTATTTCTTAATAAAGAAATTTAAGAACTTAATTTCATGAGTGGGACAAAAATCTATCAATCAAAGATAAAATGGAGACAAGGACCTAATAATTATTTTTTGAAAAAAGGAGACTAACTAATTTGTTTTTAAGACTAAAGGACTAGTTTATAATTTACAGCGGAACGAATCCATGACCCGGGTGCTAAATTTGTAGCGCGGGCCTATCAGGCCACACACATGATGCTGGGCTCAAGGTTACTGACCTGGCTTGGCCCAGCATCTGTTACCACGCCCAAATAATATATGTTTTGTCAATAAATTATCAAAAACTATATCTATCTATCAGTCAATACTTTGGTCCCAAGCTGAGAAATTATGGGATTAAAAAGGGATAAAATTAATTGTGTGCCCCTCAAGTAATGCCAACAATTTATTTTTTTTTAATAAAAAACCTTTATAATTTGATTTTTGAATATATCGATTCTCGTTCTTTTAATATGCAATTATTTATGGTTTGTTGTATACGTGTCTTAATATATGACAATTATTTAATAAACATATATTATTAAAAAAAAAAAAAAGATTGTTGTGCTCAAACATTAAAGTATAGAGGTTGACAAATCATTTTAATTTATCATCCAATCACTAATCGTCAAATTTTCAATTTGTTTCTTTCCTTTTTTCACCCAAAAAAAAAAAAAAGTACTGTAGAGAATAGAGAACATATAAGACTAGATGGAAAGAAAAAAGAATACCCAAAGCCCAAAATAACAACAGTACCTCAAAATACCTAGGACTATAGTTGGGCCGAAATAGCAAACTAGATTGTCGATCTTTGATAAAATATTAGGATATTCACCAAATAGTCAAGAATCTTACTATTTTTATTTTATCTTTTAATTAAAATTAAATAATTATTTATGAGATTACCTTTTCTTCTATTAAAATTAAATAATTAAATAATATTTAAGTACAAAGTAACGATGGATCTTAAATTTGAAATCCATAAAAAATTAACTTGAAAAAAATGCCTTGAAGAGGTATGCTAGAAAATAAATTCAACAGCTTAAACTTTTTTTTTTTATTGAAATAGTTCTTTGACAATAAAAAAAATATATATATCTCTTTTACATGTAATTTAGTTAATTGAAGTACTAAGAAAAATCAAATTTAATATTAATATTTCTTTTAAACCATGAGGACAAAAATTTTAAAAATAAAATTTTATAATCATTCACCAATCAAAACTATATAAACAATAGAGAGTCTCAATGCCATAACGTCATGTATCACTCATTCATGAGTTCAATCTAATGATAACATGATATATCAAATTAAAAATATACAATGTCATAACGGAGGGTCTTAATTAAAACTAAATAAACAATAGAAAGTTTTAATCAATCTAAAAAAGAATAAAGCATCTCAATTAATAAAATTCAAAGAGTAAAATATCCATATGCTAGGAATTCATAAATTAAAGCTTCCTTCTAGTTTAAATTGGTTACATCTATAAACTGTGGCAAATGAAAGACTTGTCCTATTAAATCTAAGTTTATTTATGGATCATACAAGAAATTCTAATGCTATATTTGTTTATCCTAGGCATCAACCTATTTAAATCATGTCCTCTAATTTTGTGAGTCTCCGATTTTCTAAGGTTGTTTTTTTTTCCCCTTTTTTTTTTTTTTTTTTTTTTTTTACTTTCAAAATTTTGAGTAATCCAAGATACATCAAATTACGAGCTTTGGGGGAATAAAGGCATGTCTCATTTGGGGGGTACAGCAATTCATCTATTTTCTCCAACTTCATTTATTTGCAATAGATATTAGTCCTCAATTAGAAGAATGGTCAAGATTTGATTTCTTTGTATAAAACTTTAAAAAGTTTTCCAATTCAATATATATATATATATATATATATATATATATATATATATATATATATATATATATTTAATTATTATTTTTTTTTGAAAATGAAAACATGACGTTTTCAAACGTGAATGTATATGTGAAAGTAAAAATAATGCTAATTTTACTTAAGAATCATCCCAAAATCACTTCTCAAATATCTCATCTATCAGACGAGTGTGTTCCACACACTATAAATCAAAACTATTGAAATTCTTTCACAAGGCTTTTTGTTCCCCGTCCACTGAACCTGCAACGAGCTTGTTTGAAAAGTTACAAACCGTGGTCTATCTCTTATTTCCCATAATATCTATGGTTGGTTTTCTCCTAAAAAGAATGTAAACATATGTTCTACATGCCAGCTTCTTCAAAAATCAATGTGATTCTTGAAAAATGACACAACCTGATTGTACACAATATCCTTAGCATTTACTCCAAAAATGAAATCCATATGAGCATACTCCTCGATGTATTGAGTAGTGAGCTTGTCAGCATCGTGATGGGGCTTGAGAATGTCGAGTAAGAGCTTAACATCTTCAACGTCAGATAGTCCATCTTGCAGTCCATAGCTGAGGAAGAGAGGCAAGTCACTGGGGATATTAGAAAGATTATAAATGGGTGGTTTTGCTTCTCCATAGTGCTGCATATTAGCCTCAGAAGATCCGTAGTCATATTTTGCCAGGAACCCGTAGCGAATGGCTGCAATTCATTTGAAGGAATCAAACAACTCGACTTAGTGATTTATTTGAAAAAGTATAGTTAAGAGAGTTTAGCAGTGGGTAAGATTGGGTGGCACACTTACTTTGACCAAAATGCCGGACGTTCTTCATTGCTGAAGGTTGAGGCTGATTGTTTGCAAAGAGATGATAAGTGGAGCCATTGAGGCAGCAGTTGGGGCCTTGAATTGGAAGAAATTAATTAAACATAAATATAGTTAATAATATGATTGCAACGGAAATAGTTACTATAATATTGCTGCACCAAAAGTGCAAAAAATTAATGTATACCAGTTATTGGAGTCAACAATTTGTAGCAGTTCGTGTTGGAAGCAGCACATAGATTGTTGGCCAAGTTAAAAAATGGGAGTAGCTGTCTATGAAAGAAAAAAAAGGAAAGATCAATTTAGTTTTTCATCTATTAATTTATTCTACCTCTAAAACAAATTCAAGGGAATTTTTGGCCAAACTTTCTTACCTTTTAGGATCAAATGCAGGATCAACTGATAAATTAGCAATCTGTTGGAAGCAGAGAGGATATATTAAACATTGCATACATAATCAAGAGAATTTATTAGATTAAGAGTCCGTAATTAAAGAATTAATCATGTAGATAGAGCATATTACATACACTCGCTTCCTTAAAAAAAACAGTAAGTAATGATGCTGTGGTTTTCAAGTAAGCAACAGGACTCAACAAAGCAGCTGATTTAATCTTCTCTACCAATAATCCTTCGGATAATGCTATCATAGCTGCCAAAGTTCCCTATAGAAATGGAGTACAATTTTAGACAGTCAAGAATTATTATAATTGAGATGTCAGAATAATTTTCTATGTTGTAAAATTTTGAGGCAAGATCGTGAATCATACCTGGGAATGACCTACATAATGTATTTTCTGTCCTGTTTTATTGTATATGTAACCAAAGAGTGCTGGAAGGTCGAATTTTGCTAGTTCATCCCATGACCAATTCCAAAATTCCTGCAAAATTGAAATTGTTAACAAATGTAATCAGCAAATACAGGCCAGAATATTGATCATGCAGGAAAGCGTTCTTGCCTATGATAAAATTTTAATTATCAGCTAAAACATAAAAGTAGATGGTTCATATTACAAAAACCAGGAAAATTAAGTAGATGGTTTGCGCCATCACAAGAGAAAAATTCATGTACTAACAGTTAGGCATCAATTTTACTTTTTGGGTTAACTCTTGATACCAATTGGTGCCATTGTAAGACATGGTAATAATGTTATCTTAAGGGTCCCTATAAATTCATCATTATCTCACTTCAATCCCTATAGTTAAAATATTCCAATATCACCCTTTTAGTTTCCAAAAACTGTACCCTAAATTCCTTTTAAATTACATATATGGTAAGATTATGTTAGTATCTGTTGCGAAAAGCTGATACAAGTACTATTAAAACCAAAAGAAATTGTAGATAGACACACATGCATATTGAGATTGAGAGATGAGAAAACCTGCTGATTGGGTTGAAGAGAGGTGTGTCGACTGCTAAATTTGGTGCCTCGGGTGTTAGAAATCCAGACATCAAACCCTTGATCAGCTAAAATGGTTGGTAAATTTTGTTCCGGTTGATTCTGAACCCATGTCATTCCATCCTGCATCATATAAATAGTGAAATTAACAAAAGTATCATATAGCGTTACGGTATAAATTAGACCTCCTGCATAAAATTATTCTTCTTCCATTCTCAATAGATGTAAGCACTTACTACAAGGACCCCATGTTGTATTAGAACTGGCTGCCTCTTTGCATCACCATTGCCACCGGCACCAACACGACCTTCTGGTATTCTTTGCACGCTAAGTATATATCCATCATCGGTCACCACCTGAAAAATCAAACTCATAAAACGCCATGTTAGTCCATTTTCTTTTGTTTTATTAATTACTACCTGCTTCTAATGCCAACTACTCGATCTACAAATTAGTGCTTCAATTGATCATCTTACTTCGAGTTCTTGGCATTTGTACCCATAAATTGTCACCAAAGTAGCACATATCCCATTTGCTGGGGGTTGATCTATGACATCACTTGTTAAGGTTGTAGAACCACTACTTGAGCCATATATTTGATGGATCATCACCGTCAAGACTATTAGGACACAAAAGCTCAACTTAGAAGACATGCCCTTGATCGTAATGTCTAGTTATGACTGTGTAAGAGTGGGAAAAAACAAAACCAACGGTTGCCAAAGAAACTTTTTTCCCCTCTTCGTTTCCTTCTTTGTCGGCAGAGAACTCTAAATCAAGTTTTTTTGAACAAGTTACTGCGCTTACGTACTATATATAGAGTACAAATAGAACTGTTAAGGCAGCAAGTCATTTATAACAATTTATGATATCAATTTATTTTCCTTTATTGCAATTTGTTTTATTTGAATTTGTAACTTACTTTCCTGCTTATTCTCAAGCTTCATGTTTCACGTGAATTTGTAACTTTCGTTCTTGAATATTGTTTTTATGTGAAGACAATATTCTCAAGCTTCATGGTAATTACGCAGAAAGATGAGAATGAAAAGATGGCAGCTTTGAGTCTTTGACATCTACTCCTTTTGTTTTCAATTTACTAGTCCGTTGGACAATTTCTTTTGAAATGAAGACAGGGGAGCATGTAACTAGAATACTAGATGCCTGCCTAAGAAAGCAATTGTGGTGTCCTGTGAAAAAATTGTAAGCATCAATTTTGATGCACTTATTTCATATAAAAACAAAGAAAAATATGTGCATGGCAAAATAAATGGAAGCATAATTATTGACTGTGATAATGCAAACGATCATGTGATGCCTGAACCACCACTTTCAATTATTATCATGATTATTATTATTATTATTGGGTCTTAAAAAGGAGCAGGATTGCCCTAGGCAAGTGTAGTCAGAAAAATGTTCTCCATAACACTTAATTATCCAATAAAATAAAGAAACCAAGAGCCAACCCCTAGCCAACAAGTGACTGCAAAATGTTGTCCAGCTCAGCTCCCCTCATCCTATTCTCCGCCACCGCTACCACCGCCACCGACCACATTGTTGCTCAAAATATTATGGCCTAAAAGACATAATAAAATCTCAATTTGTTGCCCAAATTAGACTATTCTAAAAGACATAATAAAATCTCAATTTGTTTTTTTATTTTATATATATATAGAGGTGTTTTTAAGTCATTTCATTACTATTAACAATAGCGAGTTTTAAAATCTACAAGGGTTAAACAAGTACGTCTTTTGATCTTGATCTTAGAAGGCACAAGCATGTATTTTGATCTTGATCTTAGAAGTCTCAAGATACAAGTGAATTTAGTTCTTATACATCATTTTAAGGTTAACTTTGCGTATCTACTTAATATTTCATTGTATTTTATTATTTTGTATTATATTTTATGACTATAATGCCTTGGATCTATACCCATTCAATTGTATTTGGATTTATTTACTAATATGATATTACCTTTATGTTCAAAATAAATAAATAATAAAAAGATACAAGTCGTATTCTTTCCACGTTCTGGACAACACATGGCAACTTAATTCGTCATTATGAACATGTGATAAGAGAAAAGGATATCACAGTGTGCTCACTCAATGTTGGGTTTACCATGGGGAGGGAGAGGGCCACGTCCTCACCTAAAGTTCTGAGATCCCCTTAGCATATAGAAGTACTATTTTTCCATAATATGACCCTTCTTAAATATTTTGCATTACAACTTAGTACTAGAAGCGAACCAATTTCATAGATTTTAGCTTCTTCTTTATTTCTTTACAAGGAAGTTCATAGATTTTGAGCTACACAGTTTTTTTTCATTATAATATCACAAAATAAATTTGACGTCACAAGAACTTAAATCTTATTTCATTAAAAAAAAAATACATCAAATCTTATTTCTCTAAAAAAAAAATTATTAAATATACAATCGTTAAACTAAGTTTGATAGTATAATTAAAAGCCATCAGATTTTATTTTACTTTTTTATAGCGAAATGCTTGTTTATCGCCCAATTTTCATATCCAAAACTTCTTTTAAATTGGCTTTAACTACACTTCCCAATTCTTTTTTTTTTTTTTTAGTTTTTATTATTATTTCTTACCTTATTGTCCTTTTTTTTTTAGTTCTTTTTGAACCTTGTTTATATTGGATAGTTACAAATGATGGACAAATTGGTTGCATCATATTATTGCAATAATTGGTGTCGTTGGTAGAAACAACTATGAAAACACTATAAATCTTGAATATTTTACAATGCAACTTAGTATCATAAGCTAAATAACTTCATATAATTCAGCTTGCTCTTTTTTTGTTTTTTCAAACAAAACTTATTGATTATAATTAGAAGTCATCACATGTCATTGATAGCTAGCAATCTAAATTTCGATATTCAAAACATTTTTTAAGTCGGCTTTAATTGCTCTTTCCAATTACATTTTCGTTTCTAGTTTGTATTATCCTCTTTTACCTTTTTTTTTAAAAAAAAAAAGTCATTTTTAAACCTTGTTTGCATTGAAGTTACCATTGATGGACAAACTAATTGGAACATGTTATTTGTTATAGTTGTCGCCAATATTGGTGGAAACAAGTAAGAGAACACTATGGCCCCTCCAAAATAGTTTACAGTACCACTGAATAATAAAGTCAACCAACTTCAAAGACTTTAGCTTTTTTTATTATTATTCTTAACAAAACATATTGATTATAATTAAAAGACATCAAAGTTAATTGATAACGAAGTATTTGTCTATCTCTATATTTAGATATTCAAAGTTTCTTCTCGAGTTTTTATTATTCTCTCTCATATTTTTGTATTTTGTTGGTTTTTTTAAACCTTGTTGACCTTTGGACAATTGTAAAGATGTATGATTTAAAATGTAGAGTTACCACATAATTTTTAAAAGATGAAAACTAAGAAAAAACTAACAAACTTATCCTTAGAGTTGTAGGCTGAGGGAGTTGGTTGCATAATTAAGAAAGATCACGGTCACGCTAATATATATGTCCTTGCAACAAGGTTACCTTATATTTCTAGCCTATAAAAGTTTATTCATGCAATGTCCGTTTTGTGCCAACTTGTCTATATTGATTTATGAGTTGATTATTGAATTTTGTCTAATTAGTCCTAGATAAGGTAATTAGAAGACTAAAAGAAAACTTAGTCTCTTACCTAAAATATCATTGGCCCTTAGAGCTCATTTGGAGAGGTGGAAGTTAGGGTTCAAAATCTATTTGCAAACTAAGCAATCCAAGCTCTATAAAATAAATAACTCGAAATAAAATAAATTTGGATTTTAGGCCTAGGTTCACCTACCAAATTATAAAATATATAATTTTCAAAATGTATGTGTTAACGAGTCCCCATAGATGGGCAAAGTCACCATCTAGCTATCGGGGAATTAGAAAATCCTAAAATAAAACTAATCTACATAGATATCTAGATAAAGAGTTGGTTAAATATGAAAAAAATTTACATTATCACCACCTCTTCCTACCCGAGGTAGGTTGCATTATATGCATGTAAAAAATAAAAATTGGTTTTATTAAGTTATGAAGCTATGCATATTTGAGTGAATTTATTTTATCATGATAAAATGGTCAAGTAGTTTGGAATTTAGGTCAATCAAAGGCTTATACTCATACTCTAAGGGGAAATATGGATAGGAATTGAAATTTTAGCTAACCTTTAATGACTACAAACCTATATCGATAAATAAGTAAGTCTCTAAGGATTGGGAAGCCTATATTGACATAATTAAAAGGCTACTAGCGACTTCTTTCATACATATAAGATGTCATCGATAACTTCGATTCGCATAATTGGAGAGATGGAGGGCCACTTATGACTTCGTCCACACAAGTAGGAAACTAGTAATAACACAAAACAAAAAATCATTCAAATAAAATAAAAGTAGTAAGTCTACGCCTACAACCTATATTAAAAATCATTCACATAAAAATAAAAATGACGAGTCCTTTGTGATTGCTGACCATATAACAACAAAACAAAAATAAAATATTTAAATAAAATGACGAGTCCCTTGAAACTACATCCATAGAACAAAAAAATAGTAAATTATTTAAATAAAATAACAAGTCCCTTGTAACTTTATCCCATAACAGCAAAATAGCAAATCATTTAAATAAAATGACGAGTTCCGTACAACTCCAATAAAATAACAACAAAACAAAAAATCTTTTAAATAAAATAGTCAGTCCCTTATGATTGCGACTTATAATAGAAGAACAACAAATCATTTAAATAAAATGACAAGTGCCTTATGAATGCATCCATATAACAACAAAATAGCAAATTATTTAAATAAGATGATGAGTCTCACGCAATTGTAGCCCATAACGAGTAAAATGCAAATCATTTAAATAAAATAGCAAATCCCTTACAACTCGTAGTTGTGTAATAGCAAAATAGCAAATCATTTAAATAAAATGACAAGTCCCTTGCGATTGCAACCCATAATAGTAAAACGAGTAAATCATTTAAATAAGATGGTGATTCTCCTATGAATACAATCATATAACGGTAAAACAACAAACCATTTGAATAAAATGACATTACGATCATATAAGCGACAACATAACAAATCATTTAAATAAAATTTGTGAGTTTCTTGTGATCTGCGACTCATAACAACAAAATAATAAATCATTTGTGACTAGAGTCATATAATAGCAAAACAACACAATATCAAATCATTTAAGTAAAATGGAAAAACCCTTATGATTACTAGGGGTGAACAAATAGTTTTTTTATTTGGTTTCGAGCAATTCCAATTTTATTTTTAGTTAACCAAATTATCGAAAACAAAAACTAAAATCGAACCAAATTGAAATTTAATTTTTCAATTAAAAAACTAAAATTTTGATTTCGATTTTTGGTTTTCTCAATTTAAATCAAAATTTATTTTTTAAAAAAAAATTCGAATAGGCTCTAGGCATTTGGCCCCTTTGAGCATGTGAGTCGGGCTAAACTTGTTGGTTGGGATCAAATGATCATGCTTTAGAATAGACTTTCTCAAGAGCATTATAGCAACTTCTAACTTCACTCGTACTGTTGTCTTTTTTATGAGTTTCCAAACGTTGTTGAATTTTTAATAAAGCATTTACAGATTAGCTATGAATAAAAATTGCCAAAATTAACCAAAACCAAGCAAGTTGAATAGATAAATAAATAATGATGAACAAAGCCATTAATTTGACAATCTCAATTCTCATAAAGTGTATTATTGCATGTTTCTTTCAAAATATTAAAAACATTTTCTCTTATTGAAGCAAATGGGAGCGAAAAGCCCACTGCAATTGTGTTGCCCCTTGCATTGCTCTTAACGTGAAATGTACACCAGCAATGTTCGATCCATATTAGCTAAACCAATCACAATAAAAGTAAGTACTCATCATTTTGTCAATCAATTAACAAAATAATTTAAAATTAAAATTAAAATTAAAATTTTTAACTAAATAATTAAGCATCTATATGGTATAAACAAGTTGACTTCTTTACGGAATCCCCTTGATGCAAATGTAATATTTAGAAGATAAAGCTATTACTAGGTTAATTTTATCAAGAGTAAATAACTCCTCGATCAGATTTTAAATTGGCTATATCTATTTAGTTGTGAATCCTAAATTTATCAACATTCTCAACTAATTGATGAAACTCTAAATAAATTTAAATTAACCACTACTACACCATCAATAATGCCACACTCGCCATGCATGAATCAAAATAACAATCAATTGCCAAAATCCTAATAATTGTACATTAAATTGAAAGTAAAATTTCAAACTAAATTATAAAAATTATAAAAATCACAAAATAAAATTGATGTCACAAGAACTCAAACCTTATTTCATTAAAAAAAAATTATTAAATACACAACCATTAAACTAAGTCTCGTTTGTATAATTACAAGCCATCGATTTCATTGATAGCGAAATGCTTGTTTTCCTCCCAATTTCCATATTTTGAATTTCGTTTAAATTGGCTTTAACTACACTTCCCATTTCAATTTTATCTTCGGCTTTTAT